ATTGAGTTGATTAATATATTAAGTAGTTTGGATTCAGTGGTTACTATGACAGAGCATGCAAAAGGGATCTTTTTTGACCTTTGTATTCCCAGTCACTACCATAATACCAGTATATACAAAATGCCTGTTGATTGTTGAATGAATGAATTCTGCAATTGGTAGGATTAAGTAGTAATTATAGGCCTTTAATGATTAATAAGAGAGAACAGCAAATTACTCAACAAGATCACCTTTGTGTTGCTGTAGAAGCTCTCTACATCATTTGTCTCATGATTTTTTACAGTGTACTTCTTTTAATGAGGATTGAAATAAGACACAGAAATTGAAATGGTTAATGTGAATCTTAAGGCTTAAAATTTATAGGTTTTCATCTGCTTTAGTTTTCTATTTGTCTTGTCAAAAAAAAAAATGACCATAAATTTGGCGGCTTAAAATAACACAAATTTGTTATCTCACAGTTCTATAGATCAGAAATCCAGATGGGCTTAACTAGTTTCTCTGCTCCAGGTGTCATTAGGCCAAAGTCAGCCTCTACTTTGGTTTGGCTCTTATCTAAAGGCTGTGAGGGAAAATCCACTTCTGGGATGGTTCAGGTTGTTGGTAGAATTTAGTTCCATGCATTGCAGGATAAAGGTTCCAACTCCCTTGCTGGTTCAGCCTGTATTCATTCTCAGCCTCTAGAGCTACTGGTGAAAGCCAGCAATGGTGGTTCAAGTCATTCTCATGCCTCACATCTCTGACTTTTCCTTGTGTCTCATCTCTCTTGCTTCCGGTCTGAGAAAGTTCTCTACTTTGAAGTCCTCATGTGATTCAATTGAACCCACCCCTGTAAATCCAGAATAATCTTGGTATTTTAAGGTTCTTAATCTTAATTACATCTGAAAAAAATCCTTTTTGCCATGTTGACATGTTTCAGGTATGAGCAGGTAGACTCACTCGTCCTACTACACCATCCCTGTCTCTTTTTTTCCCTTAAAGATTGTTTATATGACCATGTCATTTCTCCTTTACAGTTTCTCACAATTTAGATTTTGCTGATCATATCCTCCTGGTGTTGTTTCACATATTACTCTGTTCCCGAGATTGCTTAGAGATTGGTAGTTAGATCTAGATTGTAAAGACATAATCAGATCAGGTTTACTTTGGGGTAAGGATACATCAAAGGTGGTGGTGTGTTCTATCAGTAGGCACTTATGTCTGGCTGTCTCTTGTGCAACATCAGCAGCATTTGTGATCATTGACCTTAGCGCCATTACTTTAGCAAGGATTGCAAAATGGCGATATTCTTTTAATCTTATCATTCCATCTTCATTTACTTCCCTTTATTAACTGTTCGGTTATGCAGAGGTACAGTACATTAGGAAAGGCCAGATAAAATTCGATTCTTTCCCTGTATTTTCTGGTTTTCAAAGTGAGTTGGTTATCTACTGAAAGTGACTAGTTTTTTTTTTCCCTGAGTACAATTATTGACTCATCAATTTAATGTTTGAAACACTTACTATTATTGCACTTAAGGATTATATGTATCTGATGCTCAGATATTCCCATATTTGTTAAGTGGGAGCCTCTTGAGGTTAGCTCCTGAGTCTCCTATTGATAGGACTTCAGTGGTATGTCATAGTGTTCCTGCTTTCAGTATAACACAATGTTCCAACTCATCTTATGCATTTCCTGCCTCCTACCTGGCAGCAGCTATTTCTCCATGCAGCTCTAAATTCTTTTAAAGGAAAATGCTATTTCGGTTACCACAATTTAGGTACTGGGGATAGTCATTGCTACTGGTTTGGTCTTTGTTTCCAGGCTCTACTGTGGTCTTAGCAAGGCAATTTTTTTTTTTTTTTTAACATCATGGGTACATACTGACACTGCCAATTTAAATTCAGGACCATGGGATTTTAACTTAGCCTCACTTAGCTATTTCATATCTCTTTCTTCTTTCTCCTGTGCTTAAAAAAAATCTGTTTCCTAATGGCATCAGCAAATTTCTTATTCGCTTTATCTCACAATATACATATTTGAGTCCTAAAACAAAAATACAGACACCAATGATGATTACTGAAAATAGTTTGACAATTTTTAACATTATTTTTCATTTAATAATATCTACCATGGCCATGTAGGGAAATATTCCCCATTCCTTTTTAGAGCTTCAGAGTAAGCCGCAAGTCCTCTGTCAATGGAAAATTGGCTTGTTTCCATTTTGTTGTTATTTCAAGTATTGCCTCAATGAATAAATCTTTTTATGTTTTGGCCAGTGTATCCCTTGAACAGATTTTTAGAAGTGAGATCGCAAATTACTCATGTCATTTTGCTGGATATTGCTGAATTCCTCTTCCATGGGGTTGTGACATTTTTATATTCCCACCAGCAATGTATGACATTGTCTGTTTCACCATACCCTAGATTGTCATCAAATTTTAGAATTTTTGCCACTTTAATAGGTGATAAGTAATATCTTAATGTAATTTAAATACTTCTATTATTTTGAACCATATTGGACAACTTTGGTTTAAGACATATTCGCATATTTTTGTTTCTGAATTTTCCAAATCTCTTGTCCATTTACTATCAGATTATTATACTTTTCTTTATTTTTAGAAACTTGCTATGTATAAGGGATATTAACCTTTTGTTAATGCTTTAAGTTGCCAATTTTTTTCTCTTTGTCATTTGTCTTTTTATGTATGGTTTTTGTTTCTTTGCCATTTTTTTTCATTTTCTGTCAATTTTTTTAACCTTATCCCTTATTGTATGTAGAATTTCAGACATAGTTAAGTATTTCTACTCCCCTAGGTTATAGAGGAATTCACTCATGGTTGTTGTTGTCGTTGTTTTGCATTTTAAATCTCTAATCCACTTGAAATGTACTATGTGTGGTGAGAGGAAAGGATCTAATTTAATTTTTCATATGGCTATCAGGTTAACCCAACATCACTTATTAAAAAGCCCATCTTTGGGGCACCTGGCTGACTCAGTTGGTAGAGCATGCAGCTCTTGATCTTCGGGTTGTAAGTTCGATCCCCACGTTGGGTATAGAGATTACTTAAAAATAAAATCTTAAAAAAAATTAATTAAAAGTCCATCTCTTTCCCAGTGGTCCAAAGTGCCACCTTTGTTTTATGCTCAATGTTCATATTCAAATCATTCCATTGATCTATATCTCTCTTCGTTATTTGCCTGTTCTTTCTGACCGGCATTTGGTAACAATGGAAATTAGGAGCATATGAAGCAATAAAACCTTTTAGGACTAAAATCCATTGTGTAAATAGTTCTTAAATTTAGTTGTTTTGTTTAAATGAGGGAAATAAACTCATTCTTTTGCATGTAGCAAAAGGAATGTGAACCTAAGTAAAGAGAGATTTATAAAAGTAAATTGTCTAAAGTTTTCTTTAAGAGCCTTGAAAGAGTTTTGCGGGGAAGCAGCTTGATATAATTAATGCATGGGGTTCAGGATCCTGCCGCTCAGGAGCTGCTTTGTTGTGGGCATGTTCTTAATTTCTCTGAGCCTTAGTTTCCTTACTTCTAAAACAGAGATAAAATCACTCAGGGCTGTTGTGAGCATAGAAAGATCTGCATGCCATTACCCAGCATAGTGGCCCCACATAAAGGGCACTCAGGGAGTATTGGTTGTCTTTTCTTCCCCTTCAGGGGAAAATGCATTTATAACTTTTATGGTGAGGCTTTCTCCAGCTACTCATGAAAATAACTGGCCTGATTTTTACTCTGCAAAACTGACTAAATAAAAGGAATAGATGAGAAATCAAAGTTCTTCACTCCCAATTACCCAGTAGTGCCTGCCTTCACTGAACGGCCGCCTTCCTAGGCTCAATTTTCAGAGTGAAAGAGGAAAAGTGGATTGACAACAACCACAGGGATTGTTGACTTCTAGATTGATGTAAGCCTAGATGGAGAGGAGATTCAGAAGGATGATGAGCAGAGAGCATGCTTTCTTCTTCCCAATACAACATTGTTTTTGGTTTTCCAGTTTAAGAGGGGAATCTAGCTTATGATACTCATATCCAGAAATTTCCAGAAAGTCTCTTCACTCTAAAAGCCCCTCCCTACCCTGAAGTTGTCAGAGATCTGAGCATTTTTCTGACAAAATGCTTTATTTTTTAAGATCCCCATATCAGATTTTTTTCCATAGGGTCCTGTTTTGCTTTATTTAGTCCAATAATTTTCATAATTGTCTACTTTAGATTGTGACACAATATAGATATATTTAAGGAATTTGTTTTGAAAACATCTTAAGATCCTTTTTAGAGGTTTTTTAATGCATTATTGAAGCCCTAATTAGATTCCAATTCATAATTTTATTCCTTTTTAAATAAACCCATTGAAAGTAGTTCATGGATTTCACCAATAATAAGAACTGTTATATGAAGATGAAAAGGGGCTCCATAAATATGATTTGATCAGTTTTCATACAACATTGATTAGATTATATTCATACAGCACTTGAAAGAATGTTTTCAAATACATTTTTATTTAATTTTTGCAACAGTATTGTTATATGTCAATATTGTTAACCATAGTTCATAGTTGAGCAGACCAAGGCCCAAAGAAGTTAAATTTTAAATGGCCCAGGATCTCAAAGGCAACTACAGTTTGAGACTAGAAATTTGGATTTCAATCTAGTGTTCCTGCCACAATTCATAATCAGCAAGAGCACTAGTTCAGACATGCATACATATTAAATTTTCCGTATTTAACATTATGTCAGATTTTCCGCTGAATGAATCTTATGCTTTATTTGCAGTGTTCCATTTGTAATCTTTCAATCTTGCTTAGCTTTCTTAATTAATATGAATAGCTAACTAGTCCTGCGGTATGTCCAAATGAGAACTATCTAAACTATTATGGAATAATGTTCTGGTAACTTGAAACCTCCAGAGGCTCAGTCCTCACAGAGTTAAAAAAAAAAAAAAAGGAAAAAGTCACAGAAGTAGCATTGTTGATTAAGCGAGAACTTAGTGCTGATGTCTGGTTTTGTTTTCCAGGTGGCACTGCATGCTTGTGGAGTGGCAACAGACATGGTGATTGAGCACTGCATCAAAACACGGGCTTCCTTTGTCACGTGCCCTTGCTGTTATGGTTTCATTCAGAACACCTCAAAGTTTAATTTTCCCAAAAGGTGAAATGTAGTGTTCACCCTAAGACACCAATGTGGGGAATAAAGCTAAAGCCCGAAACTCGTTTGATACAAAGTTGCAATGAGAGTTCGGTTTTGAACTCACTTCCTCTTTCCACAAAGGCAGGTACTATTTATAAGTTATATAAGGAAGAGAGGATCTCCTCTATGGCTGCTCCTTGATTTTTCTCCTGGACCCAACTCCTGAAATTTAGAAGCCAGTCTGAGAGTGAGCTGGCTAAGAAATCTGATCGGTTCAGCACTTCTCATCACCTGTGAGAGGCAGCAGGTGTTGTGGTTAAGTGCTTAAGACCCGGAAGTCTTCCGCCCCGGGGCGGGGCGGGGCGGGGGGGGGGGGGGGGGGCAAACATCGCCTCCTCAGAATTTTGTAAGTCCTTTCACCTCAGGCAATTTACTTGAGCTCTTTCTGCCTACATTTTCTCATCTACAAAATGGAGGTTATAATAGTAACTAACTCAAGGTTTTTGTGAGAATTGAATGATATATATGTAAAGCACTTAGTGGCACAGAGTAAGCATTCAATAAAATGTGCGCTGGGCCAGGTAGAGTACTAGCAGTGGTATTTTTAAAATACTGCCCATGGGCGCCTGGGTGGCTCAGTTGGTTAAGCGACTGCCTTCGGCTCAGGTCATGATCCTGGAGTCCGGGATCGAGTCCCACATCGGGCTCCCTGCTCGGCGGGGAGTCTGCTTCTCCCTCTGACCCTCCCCCCTCTCGTGCTCTCTCTCATTCTGTCTCTCTCAAATAAATAAATAAAATCTTTAAAATAAAATAAAATAAAATACTGCCCATGGGTGCTGATCAATCTGCAAGTCGGACAGCCACTTTTACAGTCCTTACCCCACCTACAAGAGGGAGACATTTTATTTCTCACCCCTTTGGCCTAACCTAGTGGAGGGCTGTTGTCTTGGTGGTCACGACATTTCACTCTCTGAATCATAGTTACTGAGAATCATGCTGGTCATTTTAATTACAGAATAGATTAAATATGTTAGTTTTAAAAAATTGTATAATGTATCAAAAAAGATTTCTTGATCATTTGCATGATTACTTTTAAGAAATCTTAGAAAGTTTCCATCAGAATTTATACTTAAAGACTTCTGAATAAAGTAATAAAGTACAAACAATAGCCTTCTTTTTCTTTGTCTTTGATTTTTTTTTATTTCAGTGTTTTGTTCTTTACCACAATTTGCAACTAGTTGAGAGAAAACCAAAGGAACTTTGGAAAGGCAAATTAAGTATAACTTAAGGTTTACTCAATAGCTGAAATTTCACTCTGTTCTGAATCTATACAGATAAAATGTATATTTTACAACCCATCAAGAAATCTGTAAGTCTAGCACTATAAAGATTTTTAAGAATGTTAATTTGAGTTATTCAGCCTGTGGCTTCACTTAATTGATTTTAAAGTCTTACTTTAGTGTCTCAGCTTTTTCGTATCTGTGTAGATCTATTGCCATTTTCTTCTTTTGTCAGTGGAAGACCACTCCCAGGCCATTATCCCCCTGCCCTAATCACCTGTGTCAGGTACCAGACAACTAGGGACAGCCCCTATCCCCAAAGCCACTGACATTACCCAGTCCTACCCAGTCCTAAGTTTGCTCATCCTGCCTTGCCAGCTATTCCAATGTAATCCGTAATAAAGACTCTTGCCCACATTGTATCCCACTCCCTCTGCCTCCTAAGCAGCCCTGGTGCTTCCCCATGTGGCCCTCTGTGGCATGGCATGCCCTCTCTTAGGAATTGTTGGGAAAAAACTCTTTTCCATGGCAAACATCTCCTGATCTGTTGGCCTCACCATATCTAAAATAGTAGTAAAACCTACATTTTAAAACCCCTGGATCTTTGGGGCACCTGGGTGGTTCGGTCATTAGGCGTCTGCCTTTGGCTCAGGTCATGATCCCAGGGTCCTGGGATCGAGCCCTGCATCAGGCTCCCTGCTCCGCGGGAAGCCTGCTTCTCCCTCTCCCACGCCCCATGCTTGTGTTCCCTCTCTTGCTGTGTCTCTCTCTGTCAAATAAATAAAATCTTAAAAAAAAAAAAAACCTGGATCTTTGTGTACCCATGTGGGGAAGAGAAAAAAAAAATGGTTGTGAATCTCTAATAGTGTAAACAATCTTTGAAAAAATCTTCAAAATTAATAGTATACTGAGAGTATGCTTTTAGCTTTTTATAAAGACATTTCAAACTGGCATAGTTTTTAGTGTAAGATAGCATTATGTACTCCTCAGATAAAATACCTACTTTTGTTTATAGTTTTTTCTATATTTCTATATAGAAATATATAGACTATCTCGACTCCTAATCTTTGGTGTTTAAAATAATGACTTTTTTTTCTTTTCTATTTCAGTGAACAATTCAAGAAAACTTTATCATACAAGGTAACCTTAAAAAGTTCTAGATGTCTTTCTAATATACTTTTTCCTTCTTTATATTTTTCCCCTCCCAAATTTCTAATGAGATATATAACCTATAGTTACCTTGGAATTACTCATCAACATGTAATATGGGGGGGGTTGTTTTATTTTTTTATGTTTTGTTTTGTTTTGTTTTGTTTTGTGAATCAAGATTAAAGTCCAAGTAGGTGGCAAGACTTGTGAAGGGTCTGAGAGTTTACCCTGCAAGTTCACATGCTAGCCTGCCACAATTTCATGGATGCCGGCAGATAGGAGACTTCTGAGTTAGAGACCTGGCAGTAGGAGTAGCCAGACTATCATCATTTTTGTCCTGACTTTCTGAGACCCAGTTCCCACAGGGTAGTATATAATGGGCCATGCGACACCTACATACACAGTGAATTGCAGTACAGGAGAGGGAAGCTGAGCTTAGGAAACCCAAATGTTTTAAGATTTAATCTTTAAGCAAGCATTCCTGCCCTTTGCTCCAGAGCGAAACTATGTATTTTCCAGAGTTGCTCACTGTATAAACATCTTTGAGAAGATAATCTAGAACACAGGCAAATTTTTCTGTAAAAGGTCAGACAATAAACATTTTAGGTTTTGTCAGCCACTTAAAATTTCCCAGCTATTCTGCTTTGTCCTTGCCATTTTTTGTTGCTTTTGGTGGTGGTGGTGTACAATCTTTTAAAAATGTAAAGACTGTTTTTAACTTGAGAGCCATACAAAAAGAGGTCATAGGCTGGATTTGGCCCGTAGGCCAGAGTTTGCCAACCCCTGGTCTGGAACAAACGCAGCACCTCTACTCCTAAGGCGTGAAGAAATACAAGAACTATTTCTCAACAGTAGTCAGAACATTATGTAGTTCTGAGGCATCAATCTGAGCAAACTAGTTTCCAGCTTTCTGAATATTACCACTAACTGGTCAATAACATGACAAATGCATTCTAAAAAGTGGTAATGATATTTGCCAGAAATACATGAAAATCCCATTAAAACTTGATAAATTAGATTCTTAGTTCAGTTCTTGTAGACTCACTAAAAATATATAGTCTCATTTTACATGCCAGGCCCCACCTTTCAAGATTTTTCCCTTCTCCATCCAACGGTTAAGTAGTGGGGGACAGTGACTCAAAAACGTTCATTTCTACCAGCTTGGCACATATATCTCCTTCACCTCTACTTTATAATCCTTAAACAGGCACCTCCAACTCTGTCTCCCACCCTCCCCTTTCCCCCTCCTCACCTCTCCCCCTGCTCTGAGCATAAACAGATTACTACAGAGGGAAGAGTGTTGATGCTTTCATCCAGAACCAGACTTCCCTGGTCTTTGCTTACTGGATTTTAAGTTTGTATGTCTTAGGGAACTGTAAGGTTTTTTGGGAAACATTAGGACCCCAGGAACTTTGTTTTCATAATATTCAAAACACCTTACCTTTCTCTTATAAGACCCTGCCAATAGAGTAGACAATGAGTTGAAAAATAAAAACTAGGGCCCTGTTTTTAATGCCTCTTTGAGTGATGCTGGCTAAAAACAAATTGAGAGGATGCGTGGAAAAAACCTAGGGCAGTGAAGAGGCTGGGTGCCCCAGTCTCACTGGCTAGAAAAGAACATAACATTTCTAAAGAATAGCGACAGGGTACCCAGGCTCTTCCAGAGAGCAGAAAACTCACTGTTACCCAGTCTACTGGGTCTACTCCTTCTCCCACACGCCCAAAAGCTGCTTGGCCACCAGCCCTTTTGAGAGTCTCAGGTATAAAGGCTCCAGAGAGAAGTCTGAGCTTCTTGGATACTGTGGCAAGATCTTTCTTAACTGAACCATGATGGGTGGGCCGCCAGGCAGAACTAAATGGAGGTAGTGCCTAAACGTCTTGAGAGTTGCTGAGTTGGATCGGTAGCGGGAGTGGAGAGCGGACCCCAGGGAGCCCTGAGCAGCCCCACCGCCGCGGCCAGGCTAGCTACCATCACACCCCGGGAGGAGCCGCAGCTGCCGCAGCCGGCCCCAGTCACCATCACCGCGACCATGAGCAGCGAGGCGGAGACCCAGCAGCCGCCCGCCGCCCTCCGCGCTGCCGACACCAAGCCCGGCACCACGGGCAGCGGCGCAGGGAGCGGCGGCCCGGGCGGCCTCACATCGGCGGCGCCTACCGGCGGGGACAATAAAATCATAGCAACGAAGGTTTTGGGAACAGTAAAGTGGTTCAATGTAAGAAACGGATATGGTTTCATCAACAGGAATGACACCAAGAAAGATGTATTTGTACACCAGACCGCCATAAACAAGAATAACCCCAGGAAGTACCTTCGCAGTGTAGGAGATGGAGAGACTGTGGAGTTTGCTGTTGTTGAAGGAGAAAAGGGTGCGGGGGCAGCAAATGTGACAGGCCCTGGCGGAGTTCCAGTGCAAGGCAGTAAACATGCAGCAGACCGTAACCATTATAGACGCCATCCACGTCGCAGGGGTCCTCCACGCCATTCCCAGCAGAATTACCAGAATAGTGAGAGCGGGGAAAAGAACGAGGGATCGGAAAGTGCTCCCGAGGGCCAGGCCCAACAGCGCCGGCCCTACCGCGGGCGACGGCTCCCACCTTACTACATGCGGAGACCCTATGGGCGTCGACCGCAGTATTCCAACCCTCCTGTGCAGGGAGAAGTGATGGAGGGTGCTGACACCCGGGGTGCAGGAGAGCAAGGTAGACCAGTGAGACAATATGTGTCGGGGTTATAGACCACGATTCCGCAGGGGGCCTCCTCGCCAAAGACAGCCTAGAGAGGATGGCAATGAGGAAGATAAGGAAAATCAAGGAGATGAGACCCAAGGTCAGCAGCCACCTCAACGTTGGTACGGCCGCGACTTCAATTACCGACGCAGACGCCCAGAAAACCGTCCACCACAAGATGGCAGAGACAAAAGCAGCCCATCCACCAGCTGAGAATTCGTCGGCTCCCGAGGCTGAGCAGGGCGGGGCTGAGCAAATGCCGGCTTACCATCTCTACCATCATCCGGTTTAGTCATCCAACACGAAGAAATGAAGATGAAATTCCAGCAATAAGAAATGAACAAAAGATTGGAGCTGAAGACCTTAAGTGCTTGCTTTTTGCCCACTGAGCAGATAAATAGAACTATCTACATTATCTAGCAGCATGGGGTTTTTATTCTTTTTACCTAAAGATGTCTCTTTTTGGTAATGACAAACGTGTTTTAAAAAAAAACAACCTGGTTTTTCTCAATACACCTTTAAAGGTTTTTAAATTGTTTCATATCTGGTCAAGTTGAGATTTTTAAGAACCTCATTTTTTAATTTGTAATAAAAAGTTTACAACTTGATTTTTTCAAAAAAAATCAACAAACGATAAGTACCCGTTAATAAAGGTCTTAAATAATAAAATAAATAAATAATAAATGTCTTGAGAGTTACTTTGGAAGTGCTTTTCCTCCACAGTTCAGTTTATACAGCAGATCTTTACTGACTTCTGCTCTGTGCCTCCCCTTCCAGAATTTAACTTCTATTGGGGAGAACACATATACAAATAATTCCAGTAAAATCTGGCGAGGACACCAGAGGTGATTGCCTCAACATTAAGTGAATCTTGACTTTCAAACACTATGAAGACAAAGGGCATGCTTCTTCTTGTTTTTTCTTCAAATTATATAATTCTAAATCCTTCTTCTGCCCCTTTGTTGATGCCGGTTCATGGCTGCTTAATACAAGTTACTCATTTGAGCCACTTTATTAGTGTCCTACCCATTGGCCACTAAATTTTATAGTAAGCATTACAGTGTTGTTGTTGTTGTTTTAATGCATAAAAGTTGAGACAGAGGTAACCCTTCAAAAAGAACCAACATCACACAGCCACTTCAATTACCTTATTAAAAAACGGAGGCCTCAAGTCGAATGTACAAAAGACGAAAGGGGACAAACGAGGAATCGGAGTTCAAGCCTTTGGCTAAGCTGACAGGTGAGATCATTTGCACACTTGGAGACTGCTTCTGTTCCGAGTGAGCAGCTGCCCTGGGAGCATCACAGTACCCCCACTCCGTCCGAGCACTCACCTTTGGCTGCTTGCCTATTTCAGAGCACTGTGCAGGCTCATCAGCTCTCTGCCCCTATAAAGCCTTGTTCTTTTTGCATGAAAGCAGCCTTTCCTAAAATTGTCAAGCAGAATAATTTTCCTCCCACTCCCTCAGGTCATTCTTACGGATGCCCTTAAAGTAGATGCACCTCCAGCAGCCCTTTGGAGTGAGGAGAGAGGGAGTGAGCCAGCTTCCTCTCCTCTAAAGGGACAAGGGAAGAGTCCAGAGAAACATAGGAACAGCCAGCACTCTGCTGGGTATCCCAGAGAACTACAGAACCACAGAACCCACAAAGAGTGATGATCTTCTACAGTACTGCCTTTTCCCCTGGTGGTAGCCACCTAGACTGACTTCTTGGAGCCATGTTCCTGAGATTCAAATTTTATTAAAGGAAAAATATAAGTGAATTTTAGGTCTTTTTGTTTAACACATGATAATCATGCATTGTAACCCTATTTTGGCTAAAAGCAACTGGCTAACTGGCCTGAGGATTTTCCTTGCATCCGTTCTTAAGAACTGCATCTGAAGAACAGTCTACTTGAAAGGGAAAAAGTTATTGAGTACCATTTTCTGAAAATGTGTTTCTTTCAGAAGTGTTACTTGTGCAGTACTTTATTCAGTTGAACTGTAGAACTCCAGAGAAGTGAGGTAGTTTTTATCATTTTTAGTTTTGAAGCAGAACATTAAAATAGACCCACATTCTATTGTTTTTTTTTTTTTTCTTTTAGGAACACATGATTCTGTGTAGGTTTGCGGATCAGACAGCTGTCCAGCTTCCACCCCAGCGAAGACTTGTGGGTATGTGTTTTCACAGAGCAGCTGATGAGTAGATTATACAGTATGCCTAGGAATGAATGGACTGGCTCTATATGGGGAAAACTGGTCCATTTATCAACAAGAAACTCGTTTGTTTTTCCCAGCAAAGGCAATTCATGTTGAAAAGGGCTCTGTAGGTATAAGAGTATTTTATCCCATTTTTGTTAACATTAATACTTTTATTTTTTTAAAGATTTTATTCGTTTATTTGACAGAGAGAGACATAGCAAGAGAGGGAAAACAAGCAGGGGGAGTGGGAAAGGGAGAAGCAGGCTTCCCGCCAAGCAGGAAGCCCGATGTGGGGCTCGAACCCAGGATCCTGGGATCATGACCTGAGCCGAAGGCAGACACTTAATGACTGAGCCACCCAGGTGCCCAACATTAATACTTTTAAATTCATCTTCAGTATTTGTACATTGAGCAGAATTATGTGAAATCCCTTTCTTACTGTTATGAACAAACTGAGGGATCCGTCTAAAGCCACAGAAGAATATATAAAGATGGAAAAATCAACTTTGCATGCCAAAATTAGTTAAAATATGTATAAGCATTTTTTCTTGGAAGAGGTATACTTGTATATTATTAATCATAGACCAATTTATTCAACATCTGTAATAGTAAATATTACCTTAATTGGAAGACCTGCAATAGCATTTTAAGTTTAAGTAATGAATTTATCCAAGACTTTGCTTTAGAAAAAGAAATCACATTTAGAAGGACAATAGCATCTAACAGTTACTGCACATTTAAGTGCTGAGCTAAATGCCTTACCCATTATCTCAGTAAATTCTAATGAAAATACTTATGGGGTATGTACTATTATTTAGGACTGGGACAAAAGTTTGTCCAGGATCCTTTACCCGGTAGATGATGGAGCCATACTATGAACCGATACAAAGCCTAGGTTCCAAAATTAGGGCTTGAGAAGATTGAGTGGAGTCAAAAATAATCTTTAAAATTATTTGGAAGAGCCCCCACATTGGAGGCCATCATAGTATATTGGAAAACAGATTGCCATTTCTTTGGCTGAGCACCAGATGGGATAATTAGCTTGCATGCAGGGACTGTGTTATGTGAGAAGTAGTTATCTTCAAACTCTAAAGTCAAAGTCAGCATAGCAAGATACATACAGAGAGGCATCTGAGACCTGATTTCCTTTCTTTTCTCACACTCCGGAGCATAAAGATATGGAAAAAGCTCTTCCTCTCTCTCCTGCATGCAACCTCCTTCTCTTTCCCACTCCTTTTCTCTGCCTCCTCCTTCCCCCATTCCCAACTCTCTGAGCTAGTTGAGTGTACATGTGAATGTTCAGGGAGTGCTAGACGGGAAGTTGCTGGAGTTGAAGAGGAGGAGGAACATTTGGCCTGATCACTGGCATGAGGGGAGGGAAGGTCATGTGCAAAGTCATGGACTCCATCAAATGTGGACATCTGTACTTTGCATGGGCCATATTTTTGTTCTGTGAACCTTTTAGGAAGCTTTCAAGGCCCCCAAAGGGAGACTACCAACAACTGAATTTCAGTTGTAAAGGTACTTCTTCAACATGTGAAAACATGAGATTCTTTTACGTAATAGAAAAGGAAAAATTAACTGGACTGGGATCAAAGCCAAGGGTGAATGAGCTGTAGTGTAAACCCAGGGTGGGTACTGAAGGAATGCAGGGCGTCTACTCTGACAGAGAATGTTTCATTTTAAACTGAAGAGTAGACGGAGGTGGGTGGGGGGGAGCCTTTACAGATGTCTTAAAAGATGAACAGTATTTTAAGGGAAAAAAAAGAATGTCTGCCGCACAACTGTTGATGAACGGGGAGGGGTGGGTTGGGGGGTGAGTTCGCCTAAATGGAATTCAAGACATCTCTTTTTATATCATTTCTAACACAGTTCATCCTTTTTGGCATAGGAGCTTTTAAAAAAAAAAGTACAAAATAAACATTTTAAATCCGAATGCCTCATTGCCAATTCTTACCTACTGACTTCACCTTCCACAGTTTTTCTGTGAGGGTTCTTCTGTCTTCCACAGAAGAAAGTCTCTGTTTCAATTATCTGGCTTCACTTCTGCAGCTGTTCAATTTTAGTAGTTTCTGTGGACATCCAAATAAATTATATAAAAATAATGTTTAGTCATTATTATAATTAGGAGGGAAAATGGAATTAAGTTCTGCATAGTCAGTAGCCTTTTGGAGGATGAAGTTTGTATATTGAATTTAAAGAAATTGAAAGTATAAAAGCGAACCATAGCTTTGAATATATTCAAGCCCAAATCATTTTTATTTCCAGAGCTACCTTTAACATAGAAATTTGCATTTGCCAAAGGAACACAAATTAGCTGCTTTGCTTGCCAGTCAGGTTTTCTCTTTTGTGTTCCAAAGATTACAAAGAAGATTGAATACCACTATTTTATTGGGGTGAAGGAGTTCTGAAAATTGATTATGTTACACAGCACATACTTTGAAATAACCAAAGCACAAATAAGAATTTTCTCAAATATTTTCTATTTCTCATTTTTCCTTGTCCTAAAAATTCCAGGTTCAAATGTAGCCCATCTTTCAGATACCTCTTTGTTAGCATGATACTTTAAATATTATTAAAATAGATGTTATTTTTTCACAATATTACAGGTAACATATTTCCACAGGGAATGCAGGCACAAGGTCTTTAAATGTATTTTTAACCAAAGTGGGAAATAGGATCTGTAGTCTGTATTTGAGCTTTATTTATTAAATACATTTTAAAAAGTTAACATTCTCAACAAAAAGCAAGTTAACGTTCTCTAAATTAGCAGCAGAAACAAATCTATGAACTGTCATATGTGATTGTATTTTGTCCATACCGATCAAGAGTTAGGTTGACAGAGACTAAACAGGACTTGGGGGCAAACAGCATTCGCCATATACTTGTAGATTTTGTCACTGTATAGATGGACAAATTGAAATTGCACTGTTCCCTGTAGGGAGTCTCATGATACCATTTTACTGTATTTCAGGAAAACAGTGCATGTGCCTAGTGGATCTGGATCGAGCAAGAGCTGCAGAAGAACGTGGTTACTCCGTTCAAGTAATATCCATGGAGCCAGAGAGCTGCTCTCCCAAAAATAACATGATCGTGGGAGTCCCCATTTAGAAGGAGATATTCACATTCATGTTTGGCCATCCGTCTTCATGATGAAAACCCAGTGGCATTTAGGAGGTTCTTGGCATAACTAGAAAACAGCATTAGCCATATTGAACTTATTGTGCTCAGGAAGGAAAGCAGCAGGAAAATCACGGAAGAAAGGCTGCCTGCAAAGCATCACAAATGCTCTTGTAATGTATGATTAAAGGACCGCTGGTTTTCATAGTGAGAATCCCCTGAAGTCTCAGCTGCCAACAGAATAATACTCACCAGTGGAAGTTCCATCACTGGAATAACAATTTCCTTCTCACTTCACAGCTTTTCTCATCTTGCCAATTTGATGTTCAGTTCAAAACAGTGAATTGAAGCCTTTGTAATCATTGCAGCCTTTATAATCATTTAGATATTCAAATGGAGACCAAAACTAGACTCAGTGGGATTTGTTGGTTGGTTGGTTGTATTTTAAACAATTGTACTTTTTCTATAATTTTTTAAAATATCCAGTCAGGCAACTACAGTATGGTTAAATTTTTAAGCCAGGATGAGTTGGACTTGTATTTCATTTCATATACTTCTTTAAATATGTTTCCCATAAATTACCAACTGAGATCATCACTGGTTCAGACATTTTATATGAAGACATAAAATACTTGCAGGAAATTTCCCATTGTGGGAGTATGTAATTGGGACATAAATTCTAACTAATCAGTAAATACATTGATTAATGAATTCCAGTTTATAAATAATTACTGAGGATCCATTATTTTCAAGACCCTGGCCTAGATTCTTCTAAGGATACAAAGATGAGTTGCAAGAGACATGGTCCCTTGCCTATGGAAAAAATCATGTAAAAGAAAAATTAATGAATTCGTTCTTTATGTCATAATATAATGTATGGTCACAGGATTTGTTTTCCAGATATCAACCATATTTTTTAACCATATTTTTTAATTACATATTTTTTAATTACATTTAGCTCCAATGAGCTAACACTCATTGAATGTAGATTGGAGGTAGGAGGAGTACAGAGTTTAGAAGTTTATTTGAATATTTCTCTCTTCTCACTCTTCTCAGTCCACCAGCTGAACTTTTTAAAGACAGATGACATGTCCTTTCTCACATGCTGCTCATTATTTAGCTTTTACATGCCCTAGGTTATTCCATTTGAGATGAGATTTATTTCATTGATTTTGATGTTTTCAAGCCCTGTATGACACATATGAGGAAAAAAGATTTTAATAAGGAACTCTTTCATCATCATGACTTAAAATGCAGGAATAATTTACTCAGGGGAAGGGGACTTGAATTCTTGTTTTCTGAGGTAAAATTTAAAAAAAGAATTAACCATCAGCCCTGAGTTTTTTAGTCATTTTTACCTATAGATATACCATGCTCTTTTATCCTGGGCTTTCTTTTTTAAATGGAGGTCTAATTTACAGACAATAAAATAACAGATTTTAAGTGTTGACTTTGAGAAGTTTTGACATATATATGTATATGGAGATTATATACATACATATATATATATGTATGTAAAATCTCCATGCAACTGCCACCAGAAATAAGATACAGAATATTTCCACCAGCACAGAAAGTTCTCTTATGTCCCTTTCTGTTCAACTTCACCTACCCCAAAGGCAGAAATCTCTCTGATTTCTATCATCCTCCATTTTCTCTGCCTATTTTTGTCCTTCATATAAATGAAGTCATTTAGTATGTAGTCTTTTGTGTCTGGCTTCTTATTCCCAAGATAGTATTTTTTGAGAAATATCCATGTTGTTATATGTATCAATAGTTTCTTCTTATTCTTAAGTAACATTCTATTATATAAATTTATCAAAATGTATTTATTCACTCTCCAATTGGTATTTATTCGGGTTATTTCCACTTTGAGGATATCACAAATAAGGCCTATAAATATTCTTGTACAAGTCTTTTTGTGGACATATGTTTTCATTTCTCTTGGATAAATACCTAGTAGTAGAATTGCTGGGTCATTGAATAAATGAATGTCAGTTGCCAAACAGTTTTTCCAAAGTGGTTGTACCATTTTATATTCCCACCAGCAATGTATAAAAATTCTAATTCTCAACACCACCCTCACAACATTTGATATGGTCTCAGTCTTTTTTATTTTAACCATTCTGGTGGACATGAAATAGTACCTCACTGGGATTTTAATTTTCATTTCTCAGATGACTAGTGATACTAAGCATCATTTGTAAAGTCAATGTTCAAGTCTTTTACTCATTTTTAAAATTAGGTTGTTTGTGGTTTTTTGTTGTTGGCTTATAAGAATTCTTTATATATTCTGGTTAAGAGTTCTTTGTCAGATATATGTATTGAGAATATTTTTCCCAGTCTGTGGCTTGCCTACTCAATTTTCATAATGAATGTTTTAATTTTCAGGAAGCCTAATTTATCTGTTTTTGCTGTGTACTTTCTGTGTCCTCTATAATAAATCTTTACCCACCCTGAGGTTATGAAGATTTTTTCCATGTTTTCCTACAGAAACTTTATGGTTTTAGCTTTTTACATTTTAGGTCTATGATCCATCTCAAATCAATATTCACATAGAGGTAGGTAGGTTTTGAAAAATATACATTTGTTTTGGCACCATTTATTTAAAAACCTTTTCTCTTCCTATTGAATTGACTTGGCACCTCAGTTGAAAATTAACTGATGTATATGTCTGAGCCTATGGGGTCTCTAGTCTGCTCCATTAATTTGTTTGATTACTGTAGCTTTATAGTAAGTCTTGAAATTAGGTGATTTTCCAATTTCATTTCTCATTTTCCAGATTGTTTTAACTGTTCTAAATCCATTGTATTTCCATATAAATTTTTAAATTGGCTTATCAATTTCCTTAAAAAAAATAGCCTTCTGGGGTTTTTGGTATTGTCTGGAATCTTTAGATCAATTTAGGGAAAATGAACATATTAGCAATATTGAGTCTTATAATCCATAAATATAATATATCTTTCCACATATTTAGGTCTTCTTTAATTACTCCCAGTAATATTTTCTGATTTTCAATATAGATGTTTGGTTTTACTTATTATTTGATAGTTTTGATGCTGTTACCTTTAGTTGTTCCCACTACCCAGAATACTCTCCTCTTAGCCCTCCCATTAACTTAAGCTCATTCATCCTTCTGCTCTTAGACCTGACCTCCTGAGGAAAACCTTTCCTAAATTTTCTGGAGTTAGTTACCTGTTATAGAATGTGCACCGTCCAGAAGAGTTCTCCATCCACCCCAGGTGACTCAAAGCACCCCACCAAAAAAGCCGCTATGGTAAGTATCGAGAATACAAAAGGAAGTGACTCCACTTTTTCCCACGCTTGTTCTCAGGCATGGAATTCTCCAGCTGTGATGGCTGTGGCTAGTCATAGATATGGGTGTTAATGATTGCCCTTAGGACACCATTTTTCTGTGTAAATCCTTTCCAAAGCTCCTTCTCCGCCAGGGCAAATAAAAGAGGTTGGATGCAGGCAGCAGGAAGGTTGTTGGCAATGACAACAGTCCCAGTAAGTGACCTGGTATCACCCTTACACTTGTCTGTCAAAAGCAAAGCTGCTCCTCACGATCTCTTTCCCCCCACAGTTGTAAGATTAGAAGCCAGAGATCATCTTTCATCAACTTTCAAGCCTGGCTCAGAGATAGAGAGGTATAATTACTAATGACTAAATAATTTTATCTTATTTAGGGAGACATTTCAGTCATATTAGAAATCAAAATATTTTCAGAGCACACATGCGATATAGTATGTGAATAACAATAATTAAACATTTAATCTCATTCTCAAGATTTTGGCTACAGGCGTTACCCACTCCATGATTCAAGAAAATTGCCATTAATAGAACTTCCACATACACCTGCTTTTCTATTGGCTTTCATAATAAAATTAGAGATATGTTTCTGTGGAAGTGATATAATTAAATCATTAAGAGGGAGCAATACTTTTTTAAGTTACAATTTTTAAAAAGCAGATTCTCAAAGCAAAGTAGTTGGGCATTTTCAATAGATTTTTTTTATATGCCAGAAATACATGTCTGTTGAAGAAAAACTAGAAGACATGGCTAAATAAAAAGGAAAAAATTTTAAATCACTGTTAATACTTTGTTTTACATCTTCCTAGACTCTGTTCTATACACACATAGGCACATACAGAGATTTATTTAACAAACACTAATACAGTGTTGACTATTTGCTAGGCACTCTTCTAAGTCCTTTGTAAATAATAACTCATTTTCAATCCTCGTAATGACCCTAAGAACTAGATGCCATTAGGCATCTCATTTTATAGAAACTAAGGCCAGTGTTTCATAGTAAGAGCAGACCCAGATATGAACTCAGCAAGTAGTTGGCAGAGCTTATATTCTATTTCAGGCTCCTTAGCAATCCTATCGGGATTAGCTGAGATTTGCTATAGTAACAAAATCTCTCTGCCTTTTGAAGCTCTACACAAGAAAGATGTATTTTTTTCACTTATACCAAATACCCATCCAAGTCAGTTATGACTCTATGCCACATTATCTTCACACCTGACCAAGAGGCTTCTATTAGGAACATAGCTGGTCTCATGGAAAAGGAAATAGACATGGCAAACTATCAGCTAGCTACTGAAGATTCTGCTCAGATGTGATATACTTCACTTGCCTCATTTTGTTGACTAAAGCAAACTACATAGCCCCTCCTGAGTTTTAACACAGTGGGGATGTACAACCTTGGTGGAAGGAGGTTGGCAGATAACGGCAAACAGCAATGTAATGTACCACCAACAATGTAGTTGAAAGAGGAAGAGAAGAGGAGGAAAGGCAAAAGAAGGAAGAAGAGAACAGAAAGAAAAGGCCATTGCATCTTCCCGTTTAGAAATGGAGATTCTGAATGCAATTGACTTGGAGTAGGGCGTTTTATTGAATCAATCAAAGAGGGAAGGCATGTGTCATAAACATTTCCTGTCATTGCTCTGTGGACTTTTCACACTTACTATTGGAAAGGAATTTTCCAGAAAACACCTGAAAGGAGTTGTTTTCTATTATACAAGATTAGAGAAGTTTCAGATTTGCAAATTGGAGTTTCAGATTTGCAAATTCTGCCTCATATATTAAAGTGTTGGATCGGTAATGCCAAACATTCCTTTAGGAAGATACGAGTTTTTACTCCTAGGAATATATAATTATTCATTTTCCTAAACCCTTAACCAACACAGCATTATCAGTTTTTTTTAATCTTGGCCAATTTGATGGGCAAAAGTGTTATTTTGTTTTGATATTCATTCTTGAAGTTATTCATGTGATTGCATACTTTTCACATGGTTATTGACCATTTATATTTTGTGAATTGCCTATTCATCCATTTATTAATTTAGTCAACACATGTATTGAGCTCTTGCTTCGAGGCCAAGTATTGTGTCCATATTTCTTACTCATTTTTCATCTGGTACTTTTGTCTTTCCTATAAATATTAGTAAAGTTTTATTGCATTACAATTTTTTAAGTTGGCTTTTATGGAGGAAGGTGTTTTTGTTTTGCTATTATAAAGTTAAAAATACACATGTGGTCACATATGTCACTCTTTTCCTTGTGATTTCTGCTTAGAAAGATTTTTCCCACCCAGCGATAAAAAGAAAATATCCACCTATATATTTGGTATTCTAGTTCTTCAGTAGTTTTACTTTTTATACTTAAATCTGTAACCCAGCAACTATTTCTTCTGGTGGGTGGTTTGAGGTAGAAATCTAATATTTATTTTCACATTAGTTACTTTCACATACCATTATACAAATCCAACTTTTCCATTGATTTGAGATGCCTTTAGTAAACTAAGCATACTTGGGACTTTTCTTCACTTGTATTACTTTCTATTGAATTCTTGTACCAGAATCACACTCGCTAAATTATTACGTCTTTAGAATACA